TGCACGGGGAGAACATGCAAACTCCATGCAGAAAGATTCCGGTGCCCCCACCGGGACGTGAACCGGCAACCTTCTTGCTGCGAGGCAACAGTGCAACAGTGGTCACTGTTCAGCAAATGTTATATTGTTGATTTTTATACTCCAATTAATATCAATAGCTTAGAGGAAAAGTTGAACACGTCAATCCAGAATATAGGGTATAAAGTACAGTTAGACAGTGTGGAGTAACATTATTTTATGAACAGGAAAGGAAGAGTTTAATTGTTTCTTGCTAAGGGTTCAATAAGGAGATTATGTCTGTTGCTGCTAAATATGACCACCAGCAGCTGGATAGTTTAGCTTATCACAGAGACTGGGAAATTGGGGAAAAAAACATCTAACTTCCATATACTTTTTTTGTTCAGATTTAACAAACAAGATACAGAAATTTAATTTACTGAGCTTGACAGATACTGCTAAGTTGTGGTTTTGCAACTTTTGGGCAAAGCCTGGCTCAGTGGCTCGCCCTTAGCCTCCAGTCTTTGTGCTAAGCTAACCAACCACTGTGTTTAAACAGTCAAGCTTTACATACAAGCTTTAAATACAGGCCGATCAAGCTGGCCACCAGAAAGCATGGTCTGGTGGTTGAGCATTTGGAGATGTTTTTTTGTTAATGACGGCTGCCGAGATGTAAAAATCTAAAGCCTCTGATGATTCGCAAAAAGATCGTTCAATATTGACCAAAAGACGTCCTTTTTTTAAAAAATTGTTTATCATAGACGAGCTGAGCTTCATCGTGTTCAGTTTTCTTACTGTAGTCTACTCCTGTGTGGAAAGTTTGCTGCAAGTGTTCAGCGCAGAGAAAGGGAAGAACTGCCTGGAATATAAGCTGTAATTTGAAAACCTCAGCCGCCCATGCACGTCTGCTAGTGTGCGTATGTGAGTGTGTGTGCAGTGCCCTGTTTAATTAGTGCCTATATGTCAGTGTGTATCACAGAGGGCAGTGTGTCCCAGCCTTTTTATACTTCACTCTCTTTTTCTTTCAACCTGAAACTATTTTTTTGATCTTTTCTCATCTCTGTTTTGTCTCTTTGCTTCCATGAGTGAAAGGATTATGAATGTGTATACTTGTGTGTGTGTGCTGCTGCTCCTCTTTAATTACCAGCTCTCTCTTTCTTTCTGCTTCATTACTGAAGCTCCTCTACAGATTCCTGCTGGTGTCTGAGTGTGTGGGCCACAAGCCCATACCAGTCTCCTCATTTCACAGGAGATGTAGGTGTTTGAAAATCCAGAGGAAGGCGGACATCATCGCTCAGAATCAGGTCGCTCCTTCTTAGAGGTACTTTGAAACACCCTGCAGTTTAAAAGAGTTAAAAATTTCATACAGTTAACTCTCTCTGAACTGTGTGGGCTCTGCCTCCTGTAGCTCCTACTTTTGTTCTCAGCTTGACACAAATAAAACGAGCACAGCGTGGCTTTAATACTCAAAGCTGTCCTGCAGTTTGTACAGATAGGTGGTGAAATCAAGAACCGATTGGAATGAGTGAATGAATTCCAGTTTTTCTATCTTGATGGGGCGGCTCTCTTCAAAAATCATGATGCCCCATGAATCATGTGTTATGGCCTTCAGAACCACCGCTTTTTTTTTTGTTTGTTTGTTAAATGGCCATCTATTGAACAAAAAGGAAAAAAAAATATCCCTTCAAAGTAGAGTTTGAGATCCTTGAGTCATTTCCAAGGACTAAATCTGATATTAAGACATCACCAAGGTAGGATTGCTTCTTCCCAGGAGCTTAGGATGTTTTTGTTGATATTTTATATTTGTGGTGAGGCACATCGCTCTTTTAAAGAGTTGAAACACTTTGTCAGTATGTCCTTGTAACTCCAGCAGCGTTTTATAATGTGTAACCTTTAAGCTTTCTCATGTAAAACTGTTCCACGTCTATCTGAGCCTCGGATTTATGGATAATGTCGAAGGATACACCTGAAATTTCACTGTGGCATGTTGGATTTCCTAGATTATAGAGTAATCCTGCGCAGAACATCTGTACGCTGAAATCTTTTGCAATCAAAGACACTAACATTCAGTAGATGCGTTTGATGCCTTGCTTCATGTCTTTTCTGTGATTCATAGCTGTGACTGAACAAGTTAACTAAATCTTGCTTCAAACTAGTCTGAGTGGTTACGTGCTGCTGGCTGACAGGTGGACAGTCGAGATGCGGTTCACCCAGAAGCCTTAGCACCTACCTCTGTATCAAAGCTGAAATATGACACAGGGTGATCGAGGCCAGTGAGGAAACAGCTCAGGGAGCCAATCAGAGCGAAGCACATCTGGAGGAATCCGTCTGCAGGCCCAGCTGGCAGCACTGTGGGAGTCAGCAGAGGAGAAGAGCTAAAGACATCAGGTTCAAAATGGCTGAAGATTTTTTTACAATAAGAACCTTAAAGGAATTGAGTTAACTTGATTTTAATTTAGCTGATTTTACATTTACTCTTTGCTGCTGAGGCATCTGCCGTGAATAAAAAGCATGACTAATGATTTTTGAGGGCAGGGAGTTCTTTGGTCACCACATTCGACTAAAGCTTTTTTTCTTTACCTCGAAGCGCACAGAAACATGTCTGAATAAACACTTGAATCACTTCCAGAGTGTAAGGTGTGGTAACCTTAATGACTGTCTGCTGCCAGTGATACGTCTTCACCAACAAGACACTCTCACATTCTTAAGGAAAAGAGTGTTGGTGCCCCAAACAATTAAAATATGTGTACACAGTCCCTGGAAGATTTCCTATCATGAAAGACCATTTTAAATGAAATTGGTTTTGTCATTTTATCAAAAAAATGTTTCGCATTTTCCGCACCGTTTGCCTGCTGCCCCATCCACTACCTTTAATCTTCATAAACATGATGGATTTTCCTTTTTTCTTTTTTTGTAATCTTCTATGAAATGTTTTAAAAAGTAATCCTGTTTTTGAAAGTCTACACAGTGCAGCTATTTGCTAGGATAACACATAATTGAGCGTTTGATGTGGAATCTGGTTGAACAGAGAGAAAAAAGGCTGATGATGTGGAGCTTCGCAGCCATCTTTGATTCCCTCCGCCGCCTGTCTCTCCTCCAGCTACTTCAAGGCTTCGGCTCCTCAGCAAACATGAGAATGTAACTGTGCAGTGAGTGGGAGCTGTGCCATCTTTAAAACACATTTCATCTCTCTCGCTCCACCTCTTCTTCTTTTTTTTCTCCTCTGACTTTCTGTCTCTCTAGTTTGACTCGGGGAAGACTTGAGGTGAAGTTGTCGGAGAGGGTCCACCAATTAGTTTTTTTTTTATTTTTCTGGTGCGGCGGGGGGGAGGAAAGATAACAGGCTTGCTCATGGGTAGGAGGAAAGGAAGAGCTGTGCTGTTATTTGGGATAGATGAGTAGACTGTAACTGAACCAGGATGTAACCTGGCAACCCCTATAATGTCTCAGGACTCATTCTGAGTGACACTAAGACGTGCTTTTAATACAGTTTGCTGCACAAAAGGAGCTTTAGAATGAATTTTAATCTTTTAGACACACATCACCAGTGGCTGCAGTACACGTAGCGTTCACTGCATACAGAATAAAAACCCAATAAAGCGTCCATCCACACTCAACAGAATGAGCCTTTTTGTTTCAAGGAGTCTCCTGAAAGGGCACAGAATAGGATAATAATCTTTTATGAAGTGACTACACTGGATTACTCCTCAAACTCTTACATGCTAAGATGCACGGCTGCCCAAACTGTGCCACAAAGATGAATTAAACTTCACATATGGTGCATATATTGTCTGTTGGTGTCTTATTCGCGGATGTTCAAAGAATTTATGGTGGTTAGAGCTTAAATTTATGTCTGCATTTGGCCATAACTTATCATAGCAATGTGTTAATGTTGTGCACTTTGATCACTAAAATGGATTGTGAGTGTGTGATATATGGCAGCATGAGGGCCAGGCTGAGAGTTGCTGGAGCAGTAGTAGAGTGGATGACATGTCTGGTCATGTGGGCAGGTAAGAGGTGCTCAGAGAGAGAAGAGAGAGAGGTTGAAACTAGATCTCTCCTCACACCTGCCTTTTGTCAGTCTGAAGCTCCGGCAGTGTTTGTGCATTTTATGTGAACCGCTGCATTCCACTGATAATCTTTCGCTGAGTAAATGCTTAAGCGATTTTGGTTTATTATAAATCCAGCAACTCTGACAGATGTGAAGTGTTTGGAACTTTTACAGAAAGTCCAGATTTAGGAAAGGAAACACATTTATTTGGAAAACGCAGTGGGAATAGTTTGGAAATGCTTGTGTTCTGAGCTTGTGTGGAAAATAACACAAATCTGCTTTGTTTTAGTCACACATAACACAAAATAGAAAAGTTGTCACTAGAAAGCCTTCTAAAGCGTTTAAAATGAAGGCTCAGGTATCATATTGTCTCCATAAATCAGTGCGTAAAAACGGCACAATATAAGTCCAATCCAAATAAACTCCGATAGGCTACATCATCAACAACTAAATAGATAATCCTAAATTAAGTTTGTCTTTTTTCTCCCTAAAATCCGACGCAGAAGAAAAAGGACCCAGGTCCACACGGTGCCAGATGATGCCCGAAAAATGTACAGCAAAACGGGCACATTTTACGCACAAACCCAAGCTGCGCGCGAGGTTGAATGCCCGGCGCCCGTGTCTCAGTACTGACACTCCGGATTCACTGCAACCCGTAAAAAGGGAAAAAACGTAGGCCTTCTTCTCTCTTTTAAACCTCGACGCTGTCCACGTCCTCAAAAAGAATGGATCTAATTAAAACGTTGCACTCGTCATCATCGCCAAAGCTTTGCCAAACGGGTTCTGGTGCAGAGGAGGCAGGGAGATGCAGGACCACATGACTGACTCCGAGCTGCGGAGGGATGGGAGTCAGATTGGGTTTCTCTTCTCTCATTGGCCGGTGGGCTGACTTTTGACACGCAGACCAGGGACCCTCCTGCCATATAAATAGGCCTGATAGAACTTTATTATTCTAGCATCACGGCAGCAGGTTTCTGCTTAGTTTGGAGTTACTCGCGTCACCACAACTGTATGCCTGCTTGAAGGTGGTTTAAAAACAGGGGCTCAGCAGCACAAGGAGTCTGCATGTCTGCGTAGACATGCTCAGCTTTGTGGATACCCGGATTCTGTTGCTGCTTGCAGTAACTTCATACCTAGCATCATGTCAATGTAAGTTTGAATATCTGCTTTTTTTTCTCAGTGATGGATATTTTTTCGGGTCCCACTGCTTGAGGATCTTGCGCTTTTGGCTTTTGTTTGGGACTTACATCAACCTGAAGACAGCTCTAAGCACTGCCGAATAAAACTCAAAACGGATTGAGCTCATGCAGAGGATTCTTCAATTCTTTTTTTTTTTTTTTTCTTTTTTTTTTTCCAAGGATACAATTATCATGATTTGATTAGTTTCCGAGAGGGAGACGTTTCTCTGCTGAAAGAAAAAAAAAAAAAAGTTTTCTCACTTTGAAAGAGACGTTTAAGTAGGCGGCGTAGTGTCTTTTCAAAACTTTTAATGCATGTGGAGTTATGAAAATAGGCCAAATGTGGATTTTCTTTTAGAAGTAGGATGAAAAGCTTTGTGGGGCGTTGTACACATTGTTCCATCCAGACGTCCAGGGAATGAAGCTTTATTATAGGAAACTGCAATGTCTCCCCCTGGTGGCCGTGGGTGCAAACATCTACTTGGCACCAATTTGAATTTTCCCTCCTAACCAGACCAAACTTTTATCAAAGCTAAAGCAGGAGTGACACTAAATTCCACTGAAACATATCTCAATATTCCTAAGTCTTTGAAATAGCCTTGTGTGTGAGTTTTGGTAAAGTTATTGCAAGTGTAGCTGGATATACGTCAAACTAGAGAACAATTTTAATATAAGCTTGCAAGATAGGCGTTTTAATTCAAGTATCTCAACTTTTACATTCGTATATTGCATGAAGTAGCAAAATAAATATTTTTACCTCAGTTTGAGCCCCCAACAGCGCCACCTTGTGGTCTAGATTGGACGCAGAGTTCATGGGGAGGTCTCGGCTGTGCCAAACTGAACCACGACCAGCTGGTCCAAAGAGGGCAGCTGATGTTCACCTGCAGCACAGAGTAGATGAAAGATACAAACGTCAGCCACCAATGAGCAATGCAGTGATTAGACTGTCCGTTTTTAAAACAACATCCACTTTTTCAACATTAATCCAGCTAAAGCAACATCAATGAGGCGCCCTACTTCCACGTCACAACTGATGTAGTTCTTGTTTGCAGTAGCAGCCCAACTATGCCTGTCCCAAGGGCATCAACTACCTGCTCAGGCCTGTTAGCAGCCGGAGCCTTGATATCTGGAATGCTGTAATGCTGAGATTCGCATTCATTACACAGCTAGACAGTTTAAAGAGGTTTGCTATGATTCACAAACTGTGCAGACATGGCCCTCAGCTACACTTAAATCTGGGCTGAGACATGTTGCAGAGCGAGCAGGATGTTAGCAAGTAAACATGTGGAAATAGTTTTAGATGCAACTGAAGAATTCATTCAACATTTCCAGATTCAGGATAGTCCCGGTGTAGTAGGTTTGCTTTATGTGAAAGTTAAGGCCACAAGAATACACAAAAAAAAAGCCCAACCTGGTATTTCACATTAAATGTTCTCTGCAGTTTGTTTCAGATGTTTCAGCTTAAACATTTTCATTGTCCTATAAGAACACATGCAGTCTGAGGTCTGCAGAAAGCTGTCACTTTGCGGCCATCATGTTTGCTCCCACTGGCGTTTTTGGTCATGCAGAGGAAACTATAACCCTTGAAAAAGAGGTTAACACATTGAAACAACAATATAGATGGATGGAAATGACTTTGTTTCTTTTTCAGGTTTTGCCCTAAAAATGCTTATAATGTTCTAACGGAGTATTCCCTTTTGTCTCCCTGCCCTCCTCTCCTGCCTCTTCCTCCCCATCATCTCCGCGACGCCACAGACTCGGTTAGTACACATGCATGCTACCATGAAAACATCTTAAAGATAGCTTTACCTTGTCACTTTGCCTTTCTTCTTCCGAAACCTGTAAAACATCCAGTGGAAAGAGGGTCTTGGTCACTCTTGACCACGAGAGCAATCTCAGCTATGGCAGAGCATTTCATTTAGGAATTTCTACCTCTCAACCAAGTTATTTCTTTGCAGTTTTCTCCCTTCCTGTGCATGAATAGGTGAGGGTCCTATTGGCTAAAGTTTGTGTCAATGAAAGCTAAAACCGCAGAGCTGAGGCACCCATGGGGCCTGGTACAAAGGATCCTTTCTGAGGACCTCAGAGAGGGGGCAGAGGGAGGTTTGCCCCCTAACAGCTGGCTTTGGATCAGTTTGGAGTCTTCCTCTGCTCCTTGATCTGAGTTTGATTTAGGAATAAAACACTGATCTCAGACCAGTGAGTTAAAGCTCACATACCCAGCTTTGATAAAAGTAATATTAGAAGATTATTACACTTCATTGATTAGTGTAATATAAGAAAATAGCACCTGAATCTCCTTTATTTAATTAACTCTGCTCATATTTGAGATCGCATAAAATGATGCACCTGTCAGCATGGTGTATGCAGCTTCAGCACCAGCATTTTGTTTTTTAAGGTGCAATATTTGGTTCCGGTAACATTTCATTTATTCCATTCTTGGACTAATACTGCTGAGGGATTGTTGAGTCTGGTTTGGGAAGCTTTATGTTGCCTCTCAGCATCTCTGTGCACTTGTCGATCAGTTACATTACAACATGCACATTGCTCTGCTCTGTTCTCGTATTTATTCCTACATCTGCACAAGCATGATTTATGTGTCATTGTCACGGTATTTCTGCATGTCTTTTGTTGTATTTTTTACAAATGGCCACTCATCGTGACGCTTACGCACAAGAAAACAAAGCAACAAGCTGAATGCTTTATGCAGCCTGTACGTGAAATCATGTGCGAAACCCTGGAAAGACTGAATAAATAAATCTTACATTTATTTATCTTCTTTTCTGTTTAGGGACGCGTCAAGGTGAGCTCTTAATGTTGTTCTTATATGTCATTTAGCACCTAGAGTGTGACATATCAGACACATGGAGCATAGTTAGGATTGGAATACATCAAACAGCATCTTTATGATGTTTGGTCTGAAATGTGTTTTAACTTTCTTGCCCTTTTACTGTGAGGTCAAGTTGGTTTATTTACACATTTTACTGATAATAACACATCATTTTAAAATAATTCAAATCTGATTTTTCATTCTGTCTCAGCTACATTCAGTGTGGTTTAGGTTAGATGTAGTGGCCTGTGTTGCTAGAGGAATAGTTTGGAGCTGATACACTGCTAAAGCAATAAACTGAGCCATCTGCTCCGTGTTTTTGGTCTGACTGGGTGATTTTTGTGCCGCAGGGTCCCAGAGGAGACAAAGGACCTCGAGGTGACAGGGTAAGCTGAAGAGAAACTCTGCTGCCTTTAATCAAACAAGCCAATGTGTAATTTAAGATTTTGATCATATGATATGTATAAAGTGTCTTTGGCAAAGTGTTTGTTGACATCATCTGACCTTTTAACCTCAGTAGGCCACACCCCTTTGTTTACATCGCCATTAGCTCTGGTCTTAGCCCTTCCTGATAACATGTAATAATGTTCATAGATATGATAGATGATGTCAATGATGCTTATTTGATTCATTTTCTTATTTTTTATGTTTTGTTTTTGTTTTTTTTAATTTCTGAAATCAATCCCACTTATTTAATCTTAGAAACACTTGATTTGCTACAACAGCTTTACATATTTATTTGTCCATCTACAATGTTTTGATTCATTTATGGGCAAGAATCTGAGCAGCAGATTAGACTTTCCTGCGAATTACACAGGCTGCATCCTCAAGTATAAGCTGCCGATCGTTTAATAACACCGATATCGTCTGTGTTTTACAGGGTCCTCAGGGCCCTAATGGAAAAGATGGCAAACCTGGACTCCCTGGCCCCCCTGGCCCCCCTGGTCCCCCTGGACTCGGAGGAGGAGTAAGTCCACTGTTTAAACTTGCAAAAATAGGCAGCCTGCATTGACGGTGTTTATTGCAAATGTGGTCCGGAAATATTGAGGTGGGGACTGGCTGTGTGTGTATCGGCTGTAAAATGCTTCTTATGATGCAAACTGTGCTGTACGAAGCTGAAAAACATCTGGGTTTGTGAATTTCACTCATATTTGGCATCCTGCTGTGTCACACTGACAAGTTCCATAAAAGACACGTCTGGTTTTATTTATTGACCCCAGCTGACCTTGTGATGCAATAACCATACGACCTTTGACCTTTGGGCCTTTACCCATTTCATCTTAAGGCCTCGTGATAGCATAGCGCATGCATGATATAAAATAAGGTCACTAGTGTACTATTTGAAGTCTACAAACTCCAAAAACCTGTTTAATGGCCACGAAATTTGCTACAGAAAGTTTTAAATGTGATCGCTTATTTTGACACACATTTGGACTGCTGGAACACAATGATTAGCTATTTACAGCCTCTGAATCAGGAGAATGTTTTACTTGTCTTATAGTTCGGATATACTGTTTATCACTAATTTATCAGTGTTCAAACATATATTAGTCAGTGTGATTGATCTGTGGTTTATTTTTTTCTTTCTGACAGAACTTTGCTGCTCAGTATGATGGTGCAAAAGCCCCTGATCCCGGCCCAGGACCCATGGTGAGGGCCCCTCTCTTTCTCCCAACACAACACCACATGCACATAAATATACAACAATGTTTAGAAAACCATAACACACATTTCCCTACTGGTCCATCTGATGGTTGATTGTTAACTTATTTCTCCTCCTCAGGGTATGATGGGTGCTAGAGGCCCTCCCGGACCTCCTGGACCCCCTGTAAGTGCAAACACCCGCTAAACCACACCCTACATAATCGTCTGTTTTTATTCTCTTTGCATCGTTACTGATTTCTGTGCCTTCTCTCATTCAACAGGGACCTCAGGGACACACCGGACATGCTGGTGAGCCCGGAGAGCCCGGACAGACTGTAAGATCATCCTCTAAAATATTCACAGCTCTTCGGTTTATCATTGAATGATTTGGGATCTTGTTCAGTTGATGACGCCTTGATAGTTCAACTCTCATGTTCTTGTTTTCTTTCCCAGGGCCCTGTTGGTGCTCGTGGCCCCCCTGGACCTCCTGGCAAAGCTGGAGAGGACGTACGTACACATTTTACAAGCACCTTTTAAAAGACTGCTTTTGGTCATGTGTGAAATAACTTTTTTCTCTGCTTTATGGGAATTATTTTGAGTTGCTGATGCAGTTTCTTAAATATGTTTTGCTGACTCACAGGGTAACAACGGCAGACCTGGCAAGCCCGGAGACAGAGGTACCCCTGGCACTCAGGTAAGAGTCCTGCACCAAAACATGGAGAATGGCACCGATACCACAAACTGATATACTTTGTGTTGCAAATGTGGAACATGTCTAAGTAATATTTCCTCTTTTTGATCTGCAGGGTGCTCGTGGATTCCCCGGAACCCCTGGACTTCCAGGAATGAAGGGACACAGAGTGAGTGTCGATCTTTATCTCTGCTTGACCTCAACTTTACCTGCTCGCTTCACTTCCACTGATCTGAAAATAAATGGCTCCAGATCAGAACACAGTAGAGGAAGAGACACACTTGTGCTGTGTAGAAAATGGATTTAAGCGTACCCCATAATGATCACCACTGGGAGCAATTGTGGAGCTAACTTCCTGCTTCCTGAGCAAACCACACGTCCTGAAGGCTGGCAAAGAAGCCCACATTTTTGGTTGGAAACGACTGGATTTCCAGAAAACTTAACCTCTGACATCTTTGAGGCTTTTAAGAAGTAAAGGTGTCCTCCATATTTGTTACAGCCTGATTTGAAGATTCCTGATATGACGCTTTTAAGGATTCCCCTGCCACATGACCTATTAACAGAAGTCAAACAAACACATTTCTTGCCTACCCACAAACTAACTACCTTGAAAACCTGCATTGTTTACACATAATATCAATTCCTCTTAATCCATTTATTCATCTCTGGAGCAGTTCACCACCATATTTAAAATTTTATTGTCACCTATTGCCCTTAAATGTGACCTCTTTGTGCCTCTGTGTTTCAGGGTTACACTGGTCTGGATGGACGCAAGGGAGAGCCTGGTGCCGCTGGCCAGAAGGTAAAGCATCTTCTAACATCCCCATGACTGCATCAACAACTCTTTGACCTGCTGACCTATAACCTTGCAACATGCCCAGATACCTCATCAAGCCCTTTTCCTGTCTCTCCTATAGGGTGAGTCTGGTGCCCACGGAGCTGCTGGAAGTCCTGGACTGGCTGTAAGTTTAAGATTAAGCTCAACATTCACTTTTCAAGCACAAAACCATCTTACTTAGTTTCTTTTGATGGTTCCCATCAATCATCAGCATGTTCAGCCAGTGTCAAATGATGGCAATACAGTATATTATGTAAACTTAGAACAGATATATACTCTTTTGTTACTGCCAAGTTGGATGTATTTAAACTCATTTTTCTTGCTTTTAGCCACCTACATGCAGTAAAGATAATGTCTTATGTCTTGCCTTCAGGGATCTCGTGGTCTGCCTGGTGAGAGAGGTCGTGCTGGCCCTGCTGGCCCCGCTGGTGCTCGTGGTGCTGATGGCAACGTTGGACCCGCTGGCCCTGCTGTGAGTGTCTGCCCTTTAAACACCAAAGATACACAATTTGACTGATATAATGAATCATGATGTATCCTGTCCTGTGAGTATAACTGCAGTTAGAGCAGCACCCATGTCAGACTTTGACTTTATCATGAACTTTGACCTGTATATCATGTTTTTTAACACCCCATCTGCTCTTCCTTCATCCAGGGTCCCCTCGGTGCTGCTGGTCCCCCAGGTTTCCCCGGTGGCCCCGGACCCAAGGTAGGCATGATGCTGATTCCTGTTCCATATCCTCCCAGAGAGATTCATGCTTAGGATCCCAACAAGAGACGGTTCTTATTGACATACAGTCTAGGCATCGGCCTGAAATCTAAACCCATCCCGATGTCTTCTCACACAGTATCCCCAAGGGAATTAATGGCATATGTAAGAGCTCCAGTAACCCTGAACTGATTTTTGTCATTAAAAGAACTTTCATTTCAACATCTCAGATTCTAATTATTATCTGTCTACTTAAATACAAACCAAAACAAAGACACAGACAGAGCAGCATTAGGACAACCAATGTGATCTAAGGGCAGCACCAATAACCTCGAGGTAACACTGACACATTGCTTGACTGTGGATATGATTCTGTCATTGACAGGGAGAGATTGGACCTGCTGGAGCTACTGGCCCTAGCGGACCTCAGGGATCTAGAGGAGAGCCTGGACCCAATGGTGCTGTTGGCCCCGTTGGTCCTCCTGTAAGTATACAAAGATGTTGCTATTTTTCTTGACAGCTGTAAGCAGGCCTGAAACTGTTATTAGTCCTTGTGTTGCCTGTGTACCTTTGATTTGAGGTTGATTTTTTAAAAAGATTGTTGTGTTGTGATGTTCCAGACTAGATGAATCAATTCTGAAACTCTGGGATGTTAACTTTTAGCGATAAATTATATTAATATTTCGCAAAATTCTTCAACTGTCATTTCAAAAGCAGTGATATACAAATATATTGTTTCACAGTAAGATTTTATGTTTCTAGAAAGTCAAATTTGTTGCAGTGTCTTTAGTTTTTTTATTTGTTTTGATGAGAGTCCCTAATTTCTTGTGCTTTCCTTCTAGGGTAACCCTGGTGCTAATGGCCTGAACGGAGCCAAGGGAGCTGCTGTAAGTATTCTAATTTTACCAGAAACACATAGGTGAAAGGTTATTTAGTGTCACGTAGAGGTTACAACAATCTGTGATCCATATCTACAACACAGAATCAGGTTGTTTCAATCACAGAATATGATTTAAATACGCTGATAAAAGGAAGCAAATTTAATTTTGATGTAAAATATGGTCAGAAAGGTGACATGACACAATGCTGACCTGGCTGTTATGGCTGTTGTTTAGGGTACCCCCGGAGTTGCTGGAGCTCCTGGCTTCCCTGGACCAAGAGGAGGACCTGGACCCCAGGGACCTCAGGGTGCTACTGGACCTAGAGGCCTTGCTGTGAGTATACAAGCAACACAATCCTGTTAACACTTGGAAGCAATGCATACACTGTGCATACATGCACCATGCTATCACAGATGATTGCTCGTCTGATTAATTGCATCTGTTTCTCTGTATCTATTATAGGGAGATCCTGGTGCTCAGGGTGTTAAGGGAGATGGTGGACCCAAAGGAGAGCCTGTAAGTTCACATCCTGATCGTGTTCATTCCTTAAAATTTTCACCTCTGAAAACTTTTGCAGACACAGTTTATGACCGTTGCCATCAACACCTCTGTTGCCTCCCACAGGGTAACGCTGGACCTCAGGGAGCCCCTGGATCTCAGGGTGAGGAGGGCAAGAGAGGACCTTCTGGTGAGCTTGGTGCTACTGGCCCTGCTGGAAACCGTGGAGCTAGAGTAAGTACCAGACCGCCATCTTTACAGTCATGTTTCACCCATACATATATCAAATCCAGAGCCATGTTACCGAGATCAGCCATTAATGCCTGCGTGTCTCCTCTAGGGCGCCCCTGGCAGCCGTGGTTTGCCTGGTGCTGAGGGAAGAACTGGCCCTATTGTAAGTATTCAATAAGAAAACTTCTTTTATTTCCAAACACAACCAACATTTCATCCCATGGTGAATTTTTTTCCTCATAATTTGTGTCTTCTGTCCTTCTTGTAGGGTATGCCCGGTGCTCGTGGTGCTACCGGCTCCGGTGGTCCTCGTGGACCCCCCGGAGATGCTGGCCGTGCTGGTGAGCCTGGACCCGCTGGTCTCAGGGTGAGTCTCCTGTCCTGTCTTTGAACAGTGGTAGATCTCATCTTTGTGTACATAAAGAATCACAGAGGCACCACAAAGGCTAACCAGCTTAGAGCAGTAATGCTATACGGGCTTTAGTGCCAGACTGTTGTGTGACCAGAAGCCAGCTGTAAAAGTATAAATAAATGACTGTATGTACATCTAAAAGATGAACCAATGCTTACTTTACACAGGGTCTCCCCGGAAGCCCCGGAAGCTCTGGACCCCCAGGAAAGGAGGGACCTGCTGTGAGTAAACCTGAATTTTGCTCTACAACAGAATTCAATATAAATTTTAACATAGAAATACATGCATTCATGGTGGTCTCATTGTGGTACCCTTTTGTTTCCTACTCCAGGGTCCTGCTGGACAAGATGGCCGCTCTGGACCTCCCGGCCCCACCGGACCTAGAGGCCAGCCCGGAAACATTGGTTTCCCTGGACCCAAAGGACCTTCTGTAAGCACAAATAAACCAAGACCTATTAAAAGCATTTAGAAATGCATTCTTTTTTGCTTTACAACTTTACCACAACCTGAATTTACCTTGTCTTTTACCTCAGGGTGAGGCTGGCAAGCCTGGAGACAAGGGAGCCACTGGACCCACTGGACTGAGAGTGAGTAAAAAAAATAAAATAAATAATATGGAAAAACTAAACATCCATATAATTTCCTCATTGAAGAACTCCACTGTTGTCAGTTGTTACACGGCGTCTTATTGTTGTATTTGTGCCTAGGGAGCCCCTGGACCTGATGGCAACAATGGAGCCACTGGCCCCGCTGGACCTGCTGTGAGTGTCCTGACATACAGCACATGAGTGGATCTCAACATTCAAAAACAACATGTTTGATATGATTTTGTGATAATGACCATCACTTTGCCATTTTAACTCTAATAACTCCTCTGTCTTTCTTGACATAGGGCGGCCCTGGAGAGAAGGGAGAGCAGGGAGCTTCTGGAGCTCCTGGCTTCCAGGTTAGAATCCTTTATCTATCTCTGTACAAGTTTTACAGAGGGAAAAAGAACATCATTCTACTGCCCTTTAGGCCAATGTTGTGCTTGCATTGATTACTCATTAATTTGTCAGTCATTTTCTCTATTAATTTGGTTTATAAAGTGTCAGAAAAGGTAAAAAAAACAGATGTCAAATCAAGTTTTCCAAAGCCCAAGATGGCATACTAAAATGTCTTATTTTGTCTTGAGCCCAAAGAGATTCAGGTTACTATCATAGAGGATTAAAAAAACATGAAAACATTCATATTTAATTCTCTGTTTAAGCTGAAATCAAGGAGTTTTTCCTTTAAAAAAAAAAACAAAAAAACAATAACAATAAAACCAAATGAATAACAAGCTAAATAGTTTCAAATTGATTGAATAGTGGACAACCAATCAATTGATCGCTGCAGCTGTAGTTGTGTTTTCTTGCTGCCATTCACTGTTAGAATAGGAAACATACACACCACAACACAAGTGTTTCTCACAGCCAAATATAATGTGATGCACTGATCTTATTGTGACAAATCTCCTTGCTTATTGTAGAGAGAAATGCAGCTAGAAAGTGGTAAAACAAACAAACAAACAAACAAACAAACAAACCCAAAAGCCTCTACACCAATTCTCTAGACTAGTTTTGTCAAGAAAAAAATTGTCTCCTTCACTGCCTTCCTGCTGATGCCATTGGAGCTGATGTTCTGTCTTGATATTTGCAGGGTCTGCCTGGACCCGCTGGACCTGCTGGAGAGGCTGGCAAGGCCGGAGACAGAGTAAGTGAACAAACAGCCACTTCTACCATAGTCAAACTACAGACTATCGTATTGTTAGTAGTGCAGTACATCTCTAACCAATCGATCATGTCTCAATAGGGTATCCCAGGAGACCAGGGAGTTGCCGGAGCTGCTGGTGGCAAGGTGAGATTACCTGTCCATGTCTTTGTTTTCCTAAACCCATGCAGTATTACTAGAGATTCACACACTAGTAAAGCCTTAACCTTTCTAAACTCTATACATTTTGGGTCTGTGTTCATTAAATTAATCCAAATTTTCTTGAAAGCTTTTCACTATTATTAAGATGCAGGATTTATTTATTTATTAATTAAATTATTTTAGAAACCTGTCTTTTGGTGGAAGATTAGTTGTGCAGATAAATAATAAAATATATATGTGTGTGTGCTTCTACAGGGAGAGCGTGGTAACCCTGGTGCTGCTGGAGCTGCTGGAGCTCAGGGACCAATGGGAGCCCGTGGACCTGCTGGAGCCCCTGGATCCGATGGTGGCAAGGTAAGATAAAGGGGGACTGTGCTGTGGGAAACTGGTTACAATGATTTAGTACAGCAGATAAGTTTTTGTGAAGTTAAAAAAAGGGTTAGTTTATGTTGATGAGTGTGTGTTTTGTGCAACAATGAACCAAAGTTGGTCCTGTCTGTTTCCAGGGAGAGCCTGGTGCCGCTGGAGCTGCTGGTGGACCTGGACACCAGGGAGCTGGTGGCATGCCTGGTGAGCGTGGAGCCGCTGGTCCTCCTGGACCCAAGGGAGAGAAGGTAAGTTTCAAAAATCTACAACCTGAAAATCACTTAGAGGGGATGTAATGCTTCTCCTTTCATTGCCTGTCTTACACCATCTTCCTCCTCCTCCTCCTACAGGGAGAGCCTGGACACAGAGGCCCTGACGGTAACAGTGGCAGAGATGGTGCCCGTGTAAGTTCAACGTTATCAATTTTTCACAATGAAAAATCAGTAACCCAGAGCCATCCCACCAGATCCCACCAATCCCACCAGAGCCATGGTATCAGTGTGCCCTCCTCTGTCTTTCTAGGGCATGCCTGGACCTGCTGGACCCCCTGGACCCACTGGAGCCAATGGAGATAAGGTAAGCCACTGTAATATTTATCAAGAAACACATAACTGAACTGACAGAGACTAACAAACATGATGTGGTTAAGGATTCACCCCGTATCATATCACATCAACAGAAATCATTTGGTTTTTAATGTGACCTAAAAATGGCTGCCACCAACATTATTCAAGATGGCAGACGGACTCCAGTCGCAGTGACCTACATTCAAAAGAAAACAAATAAAGCACTGTTGTAATTTTATTGCCGAGCAAGTCATCTCCTTATCCTCAGTTCTCCCACTCCTACATGGCAAAATTTGCAATTACCCCCAACGTAGTGTCGTATCTGAAGCTACAACCTCAACACTGCCACCTAATGGCTATTTTGTAACATTACAAAAATGACACCTACAACTCACTGTAAGATGACGGAGGTGGTTACAGCATAAAATAAATGCATTAAACCAAATTTAACAGATTTCAAATATAGATTATTTTCAGTTTTTTGCCATTTGTGATGTTGAGCTTTTGCAGTGCTATTTTGCCCACATATTGGCCGTCCAACAAGACCAAAAGAAACATTAACAGGCAACAGAGTTACTTAGCAAACAAGGGATTACTATTTGTAGTATTTATATCAGGGAGTTTTGAAATTCATGTCAGCTGATTTGTTTTTTAAACTGACTGTTGACCAAAATGAACAGAAATAATCTGACAGACAGGAAAAATGGTACATTCTACTGCTGTTGGTTAGTATGAACACACAGATGGATAGGTAGATGGATTGACCAATGTTGAGTTAATGAACCATTTCCTGTTGTCTTCTACAGGGTGAGAGTGGTTCCTTTGGACCTGCCGGCCCCGCTGGATCCCGTGGAACCCCTGTGAGTAACTGTGGATCACTTCCTTCATATTAATAGATGTCACCTCCATCAATGGAGACCTTAGCAAAAACATTGAGCTTTTATGTACTAGTATAAGCAGTCTGTCTGACCTACTGCTTGTTGTCCACAGGGCGAGCGTGGAGAGGTTGGCCCCGCTGGAGCTCCTGGCTTCGCTGGACCCCCTGTAAGTTCACACACTGAAATATGCTGCCATTCACACATCTTTCCAATTCCCAAAATTCTCATCAATGCATAATGATAAACTAACAATTACATAAAACACACACACACACACACGCTTGCCCAGATATTGACCCAATTCTGCTCCTTCTCCCTCCCTACAGGGTGCTGATGGTCAGCCTGGTGCAAGAGGAGAGCGTGGACCTTCTGGTGGAAAGGGAGAAGTTGGCCCCTCTGGCCCTGCTGGACCCGCTGGACAGTCTGGACCTGCTGTTAGTACCATTCACTTTAACACACACTTTGCATTGCCACTTGGCAAATCTAATCCAGCTAGGATGGATGTACCGTACCAGACTCAGTGTATGATTTAGGAAGCAGCAGACAGTTATTCCAATAACAGAATGGGATGACATCAAAAGTTATTTCAGATAGTATCAGCTTTGCAGTAGAACTTTAATAAAAATGTACAAATTTACTTCATGTACTCTGGTGAGATATGAGTAATGCTTATATGAAATGATTTCTTTTTCTGGGTATCTAGGGTCCTTCTGGCCCTTCTGGACCTGCTGGTGCTCGTGGAGACACTGGTCCCTCTGTGAGTACTGAAACATACAAATACACTGATTACATCTCTGTCACACTCTCACATAGGCTCTGTAGGCCTTTCACATCACGTAAAACCTACCAGTGCATACACTGAATAAAAGCTGAAACTGAAAACTCTGCTAAACGTCTAATGATCAGAGAAATATATCGAAGGATGACCGTTATACTGCTGTTTAAATAAGCTCAATGAAGACAAATTTTCTTACAGCTTGAGTCCATAAATTCACCAACACGGTGCTTGCTTTTGGCCTTGTGTAAATGTCTGCCTAAAAGACAAAGAATGAAAAAGGAAATCAAAGTATGACTGTTCTATGCTGATTTATATTGTACCTCTGGATGGTCAGAAGATATCCTTATGTTAACTCTCAGGCCCACTCACACATAAACCTACACACTGTCCAGGTATTACTGGTAACCGCTGTATAACCACTGTGTGTGTTTCTGCTCAGGGTCTGACTGGTTTCCCTGGTGCTGCTGGCAGAGTTGGTGGTGCTGGACCCGCTGTGAGTACTTATTCTATATTTACAATTATTGAAAAACTTACGCACACACACACTCAGAATTAACCCACTCTCTTCCTCTTCCCCGCTCAGGGTATTGTTGGACCCCCTGGCCCCGCTGGTGCCGCCGGCAAGGATGGACCTCGTGGTCTCCGTGGTGATGTTGGTCCTGCTGGTCCTTCTGGCGAGCAGGGAATGGTTGGACCACCTGGTCCTGCTGGAGATAAGGGACCTTCTGGAGAGTCTGGCCCCCCTGTGAGTTAAAGCTCTTATTTTCAGGCCAAATTATGAGACTGTGGAGCAGTAATAATGTTGAGAGCAATTTTAAAGGTCATGAATGCAAGTGAGTTCAGACTTCTGTTGTACTCATGTGGACCTATCAATCATCAGCTCATGGATGTGTGGCTTATGGTGTCTTTTGTCTTTGTGTTTAGGGTCCTGCTGGTGCTCCTGGAGCTTCTGGTCCTCTTGGACTTCAAGGATTCGTTGGTCTGCCTGGTTCTAGAGGAGATCGTGGTACACCTGGTGGTGCTGGTGCTTTGGTAAGTACTTGTCAAACCAAAAGATGCAAAAATACAATGCATGCATATCACCACTTTACCTGGACTTGACTCCGTTAGTCCACATATAGTTTGAAGCCTTTGACTCACTGATTTCCTCTGCATCGTACTACAGGGAGAGCCTGGTAGAGTTGGACCCGCTGGTCCTCCTGGAGCCCGTGGTCCCCCTGGCAACATTGGCATGCCTGGTATGACCGGACCCCAGGGAGAGGCTGGACGTGAGGTAAGGATTCAGCATGCCACCTGTGCAATACTGACATATGTGTAGGTGTGGAGAGAGTACTAAAATACCCCCGTCACTCAAGTACAAGTACTGTTACTTGATTCAGTATCATTCACTTAAGCTATACATACATACACATACATAGAGAATCACTTTTCAAGGCTAGTCCATTGACAGTATTTACAGTTACAGTAACACGACATGAAGATGTAACAGGAGCTTTAATGTAAACTGTAATGTTTTTTTGCAATCCACAGGGTAACCCTGGTAATGATGGACCTCCTGGCCGTCCTGGTGCTGCTGGATTCAAGGTAATGTCCTCTGATACACCTTAAGCCATGTATGTTTACAGAATACACAACATATACTGTGCTCTGACCTGTGTGTGCGCTTACCCACAATGTTCAGGGAGATCGTGGTGAGCCCGGACCTGCTGGTTCCATGGGACTTGCTGGTGCCCCCGGACCTGCAGGACCCACTGGAGGTGCTGGAAGACCTGGAAACCGTGGAGAGGCTGTAAATATTTTTAATCACTAAATTCCCATTTTCAAGCAGTATCATTTGCTGGGTGTATGCATCTACAGTCTTCTGTTTGTTTCACTCATCCTTTTTATTCTTGTCTTTCCTTGTCCCTAGGGCCCAGGAGGTCCTGCTGGACCTGTTGGTCCCGCTGGAGCCAGAGGTGCTGCTGTGAGTACAATAAAAAAGTATAGTCATAGAAATGACACAAAGAACAGTATGTAATGGATAAAAATAAACCAACATTCTACATACACAACATTTCAACGTTTGAATGATAAGTGCATCCGAGTCTGGCGACATGATGCCCCTACCATACGCATGCATGTTTCTCTGTTTGTTGTAGGGACCTGCTGGAACCCGTGGTGAGAAGGGAGGTGCTGGTGACAAGGGAGAGAGAGGCATGAAGGGTCTGCGTGGACATCCTGGTCTCCAGGGAATGCCTGGACCTTCTGTAAGTGGCTGCGCACCTGCATTATTCATGAACAGCATATAAATACACAGCTATCTATGCTAATACACCTACATGGAATCCAAAAGTACAGGCAACAGCACTGTGATGTAATTGTTGCAAACAGAGAAAGTTAGCGCTGTCACTACAGTCTCATTCAGTGATGTGTTTTCTCTTCCTGCAGGGACCATCCGGTGACACTGGAGCTGCTGGACCCAACGGACCTGCTGGACCCAGAGTATGTAGAATCCTTATTGCTTGCAATATATCTGTATTTTCTTTCTTCTGCCTGCATTGGCAAAAGTTCCAGTGAAGCCATTTTGCACACTTTTCAAAACTTTACCATAAGTGAGAACTAATTTAATGTCAGAAGGTGACACAAAAAATAAATTAAATTCCACTGTAACAGGATAAAGTTTGCATACAGTCCCTCTAAATTTGACAGAATACCTTTAACACTGAAGCATCAACTAGTGGACATTTAAAGGTGCAGGAGTTTACATAAAAATATGATATTCTTGTCTTCAGGGACCCGCTGGACCCCATGGACCCGCTGGTAAGGATGGTAGAGCTGGTTCCCATGGTACTATGGGTTCTCCTGGTGCTCGTGGACCCCCTGGATACTCTGGACCTGCCGTAAGTTTGACTTTGCATCAACAGCTTCTTTATCCTAAACACTGTTTTTTGTCATTTGGACAAGGCAGTTTAGTTCTAGTATACATCAAACAATTCCCTGCAAAGGATCCAACTGCAACTGTTATCTGTATACCAATCCACTGTCTTGTCCATCTTAGGGTCCTCCTGGAGCTCCTGGTCTGCCCGGACCTCCTGGCCCCTCTGGTGGTGGATACGATGTCTCTGGATATGATGAGTACAGAGCCGATCAGCCCGCCATGAGAGCCAAGGACTACGAAGTTGATGCCACCATCAAGTCACTCAACACTCAGATCGACAACCTGCTCACCCCTGAGGGATCCAGAAAGAACCCTGCCCGCACCTGCCGTGACATCAAGCTCAGCCACCCCGAATGGAGCAGCGGTAAGATCGACCCTTCCTGATACTTTCTTGAGGCTAATATGGTCCTACATTTAGTAAAATGCATCTGTCTTTGGAGCTTGTAATTCATTGAGCTGAGCTTTCAAACAGGACAAAAACACTTCCCATCAGTTTGACTCTCCTTTCTTGCTCCCCTGTAGGATTCTACTGGATTGACCCCAACCAGGGCTGCATCAACGATGCCATCAAGGCCTTCTGCGACTTCACCACCCGCGAGACCTGCATCTATGCCCACCCTGCTAGCATCGCCCGCAAGAACTGGTTCAGAAGCACCGAGGGCAAGAAGCACGTCTGGTTCGGAGAGACCATCAACGGTGGTACTGAGGTGAGAGAGGAAGCACATTGCTTTATTTTAGTTGCACACCACCGAATGTGATAAGCTAATGTAACATTCGCTTCATACGACATACTGATTGCTGTTCTTCTTGCAGTTCACCTACAACGACGAGACCCTCAGCCCCCAGAGCATGGCCACCCAGCTCGCCTTCATGCGCCTGCTGTCCAACCAGGCTAGCCAGAACATCACCTACCACTGCAAGAACAGCGTTGCCTACATGGATGGTGAGAGCGGCAACCTGAAGAAGGCTGTGGTGCTCCAGGGCTCCAACGATGTGGAGCTGAGGGCCGAGGGCAACAGCCGCTTCACCTTCTCCGTGCTGGAGGACGGCTGCACTGTGAGTAGCTTTCTGCTTCTGTAGTTGCCTTGTTTGATCGCCGCTGTTATTTTTCATTCTTTCTCATGAGTTAGACATAATTTGGTTTAGAATTATTACAGCAACAATACACAGCTAATCTGTCTTACAGCTTTGCATCTTGTATCGTCTGGCCTGTACTGCACTATTCTGACATTCAATCTCTCCTTTTCTTTCTTTACTCCTGCAGAGACACACTGGTGATTGGAAGAAGACAGTGATTGAGTACAGAACAAATAAACCAAATCGCCTGCCCCTCCTCGACATTGCACCTTTGGACATTGGTGGAGCTGATCAGGAGTTTGGTTTGGACATTGGCCCAGTCTGTTTCAAATAAATAGACTCATGATAAATTAACACCAAAAAAGAGAGGAAGAACGAAAAAACAAAATCTCTGCCCTTCTTTCTGTGTTGTTTTTTTTATACTGAATGCTGATTTCTCTCTGCGCATCCACTTGCTTAAGATGGGCAACTATCGGAGAGGACTGAACGGACTGATCGGAGCGTTTGTGCAATGCAAATTAATACAGCAACCCAAAGGGACGCGGGAAAACATCTTGTTGTGGGACATCATGTCATCCTTTTGTAAAAAATAAAAGAAGTGTAATAAAAACGCTGAAAGTACGCATCACTTTGTGGTCTTTGTATATCTTCCAAAGAGGAGGTTTAAAACCACAATTTCCATGAAAAAAAGGTTTAAACTACCTCATGCCTGTACCTAAAGAAAATACTATTGAGAAAACCTGGGTCCACAACCGAGATGTTAAGACTTCTAATGCTTCAAGCTTTGTCCCATATCGGAAGGTGCTCAGTTACTTGAAGCAGAGATCTATGGTGCTAAGATGCAGCTGTGGAACAAACCACTTTTACTGTATTACTTTGTATTGACGTTTGAGGAGTTTTGCCTTCATCCTCTGATACTCCCCCATTTTAAGCAGGTGGAATGATTCTAAACCTGATGTCTGTCTTTTTTTTTGTTTTGTTTTATTTTATTTTATTTTTTTTCTGGAAACTTTTTGGTTTTGTTTTGTTTCATTTTTTTTTTTTCAGGCTTTTTTTACTCTTCCAATCCCACACCCAGTGTTCATTCTGACAGCACATATTTCATCCAGTTCTGGTTTTTTAGGCGGCCTCTCTCTCTCTCAAAAATGACACCACAAAGTCTATTGTACCTATTTTGTATATGTGAGATGTTTAAATAAATTGTGAAAAGTTCTGAAATAAAGCATGTCCAATGTTCCAAAACACACTACGCAGTGACTTAAGTGCTTTCATGTTTTAACGACACCACTGAAGGTGTGTCACTGTATTTTGGTTGTAGTTTGGCGGATGATTTACACATCATCACTGATTTAAACATCTTCCTATTGTGGAAGCACAGCCATAACTTGGTTTTTATCTTCCCCCCCTTGATCTTGCCTTTCATCAGTACATCCAATTCTAATGTACAGTAAATTTCTGTTTACACTGTCCATGCCAATGTGTGATTACTAACGTGCATTGTTCCTTGTAAATATGCCTCCTCTCATGTTGCTTTCTCTTGCATAATACAGCTTTTGCATCCAAATAAATTTCTGTGATTTGGATCGAGGCTTGATTGCAGTGAATATAGCCACTAGTTAGATTCAGGATAGGAACATGGCAATCCTGCAGATGTTACCTGTTATTCCACTTTATTGAAGACACTGAAGATCAGATTGAGTGCAGCATACTGAGGGAGCTGAGGGTTTGCAGAATATGTAAAAACACATGCAGGAGCAGTTCTGAGCAGGATGAGTTGAAGCTTCAACATGCATAAAATCATGTGCAGCACCTTCTATCACCACTGGAAGGCAGTGTGGCATTAATTTATTAGCAGTCAAATACCAGCAACTGTGTTTGAACACTGAGCTGCAGAAACCTGGGCATTAGATGACTTTTTAGTACATTTTATGCACTGAAAATGATATCTAAAGCTATACTTAAATATTTAAAAGATTGGACCTTTGGTGGTACAGACATCAGGCTACAAAAATACACACATCTGACAAAGCGAATATCACTGCTGTTGCTGTTGGTGTTGTTTAAAATCCATTTTCAGCTCCAGGAACAGAGTGAAATCACTTGACATGCTATCTAATACTACATTTAAGAGGACTATATTGCATTTATCACTTCATTTCCGACTACCTTTGACTTACAGCTGTTCTTATTTGCTATTTTGCAGATCAAAATTCAAAACACATCATAGTCTAAAGCCTATGATGCCTCATTGTTAGTCTAACCACCAAGCTGGATATGTAATAGATTGTAGTGCTGTCGGGATGCTTTTGCCCCCTCTATTGGTGTGGCTACGCAAAAGGACACAGGAAATATTTAGAACATGTGCAACAACAAAGAAGCAAACTACTTTTATACAGATGGCAATATATCTGACAGTACTTTTTGTCTTCCGTATACCAAACACATATATGTGGGATGTATTTTGAATGTGATGGAAGTTTTGAACATGAGTAGAAGTCTTGGTGAAACACATACAGTTGAAACCATCAGAGACCACAGGACATGTCTCCAGAAATTAAGGTCTTTGTCCCTGTGGGGGTCTTCAAACTGCAATCTGACTTTTTCATGTTTCTTTTGGAGTAATGTCTTCTTCCTCTCTGAGTATCCTTTCAGCCCATGTCGGTACAGGACTGGTTTCACTGTGGATAATGATTCTCTTACCAGCTTCAGCACAATCTTCACAACATCTTCTGCTTTTGTTCTGGGGCTGATACGCACATTTCACACCAAAACACAGAACCCATCTCCTTCCTGAGCAGTATGATGGCTGGACATTCCCATGGTGTTAAATACTTGCTAGAATTGTTTGAACAGATGAACGTGGAACCTTCAGGTATCTGTAAATTGTATATTTAGATTTTCCCACGTTGTCACAAAAGGAAGCAGTGTGTTTGAGGTGTGCCTTAAAATACATCCACAGGTGTACCTCCAATTAACTCAAATGTTGTTCAATTAAAAGCTTCCAAAGCCATGACATCATCATCTGGGCTTTCCGAAATAGTTTGAAGACATAGTAATCTTAGTGGATGTAAACTTCTGATGTTGAAGTAAGAAATAAAAAAACCTGTCCATCTCATTATTTTGGCATTTAGCAAATAGAAATAATTTTGGTAATCCTAAATGACCTAAAACAGGAAACGTTTAGTCTGATTTAATGTCACACAGTGAGAAAAAAAAAAGGTTTTATATCTTTTGATAGAATGTATGTAAACTTCTGGTTTCAACTGTACAAGACAAAAGAGGGCAGGAGAGTAAATCACACCTTTATCTGTGTGTATTGACTGAGCAGGGATCATATCAAATGAGAAAGTTGATCAATGGGAGAATAAACGTGCTTTACTGTGTATTATTCCATTATATTTTGAATTGTCACCTCGCGCCTGAGCTGTGTGTTTTTCATGACATAAACAAAGATATTCCCAAAGTAAACTTGATGCAAAAAGACACAAAGTGATGCCTAAAAATTCACCATTGCAGGATATTAGGTGTATGACAAAAAATGTCACAATTTCCTGAGGAAGACCATAAACTATATTGTTTAACTTTTTTTTGTTTGTTTGTTAATAAATACAGTCTACTTGGAGGAGTCCCAGACTAATGACTTTATCTGTCCCTCAAATGGAAACATTTATGTTTCATATTGTACATGGTTCCTTCTTCAATAAAATTAGGAATATTATTATGAATATTATTATTATCGTTATTATTCTTATTATTATTATTAATAATATTATTTATAGCAATAATAATAATAATAATAATAATAATAATAATAATAATAATAACAATAATAATAAAACACAGATAGATTTATATAGTCGTCCTCAAAAGTGTTCATACCCTCCCATTAAAGAAGGGAAAAAAACAGCTGTCACTGAAACAAGTTGAAATTGAAAAAAGGTATATTAAATAAAAATGTAATGAAAATCATGACATTGCTTTTGAATTGTGGTTCAACAGAATTTTATTATTTTTTTAAACAAGCAACAAGCATGATGAGACCTGTAAACTAATATGTTGTTGAACAACCCTTTGAGCCAATCACTACAATCAAGTGACTGTAACTCTTTTGTTTTTTACATTATTCTTTTCAACCACAATTCAAAATCAAGGTCTACTTCCGTTAAATTATAATTTAGCAAATTTTTATTTATTGCTACTTTTTTCCAGTTTCTAGTTATTTAAGTGACTATTGTGAATTTTCTTCAATAAAATGGCATTTATTTCACTTTATTTATTGAAGAAACGACCTGATATTTAAATGCCTGTAGTGGTTGGGAAGGGACTTTTTTTTTTTTGTAACCTTCTTCTTTGGTGTCTACTCTGTGGACTTTGGGTTTGAGCGTCACTTTGTTTACACTCATAAACCGTTCTGCCAGTTTCGCGGAAACCAGGTGGAGGTGGAGCACTGCTAAAGGAGGGTAATTAAGATGTATTGCACAACCTGAAGCACTAGCTTTCAAATTGAGGAGCAGGACATTGGCCTCGGCTGATATCTGGGTTCCAAGTTTCGATAGTTTATCAGCACTCGCGTTTTGAAAAGATTTTTTTTTTCATTTTCCATAGAACTTTTTTCTAATCTTTTTTTTTTTTTTTTTTAATAAATGGTCTGTTTAAGTAATTTAGAATTTAGACGCGTGACCCCCCCCCCGAAACTCAATTAGATATGCACCTGCTTCGAGCGGCGGTGATGGAGGTGGTGGTGGAGGAGGCGGTGTCGCAGGGAGCAGACCGGGCAGATGGTGCACCAGGAGGAGCGCAGCCGCTACACTGCACAGCTGCTTGTTGTCATGGAGGAGCAAAGATGGCGGTCCTGGCCTATAGCCTGGGCAAACGCGAAATAAATCAACATTTTACCATTAAAAACGCCAAACTGATATCGCTGCTGGTCGTTCTTGTGCTCCTGGTGTTCCACACGGCGTCGCGCTATTATGGAGGTGAGTGTTCCGGCGCTTTTTAAACTTGATGCAGCCGCTGCAACACTTGACACGAGCTAATGGTAGCCTAGCTAGCTAGAGGTTGGTGCCTCTTGTCTTGTTGCAGCTCGGCACACCTTTGAAGAGGTGAAGTGTACAGACTCGTAAACCCTCCGTAGAGCTTTCTGCTCGGAAGGCAGCTCGGGATAAACTCTCAAACGGCAGCAGCGCGAACATATGTCGACTTTGTCCGAGCGGCTAAAGCTAACACCGCATTTAGCTGTGTTTACATGCTCCTGTCAGAACACGCTTTATTGCTGCTGCTGCTGCTGCTGCTGTTGAAGCGGTGTGCAGGCTGCCGGAGCTAACACGAGATCTGAGCTGCTGAGAGGCCAATGTCATGTAAATATTTAGCTCTAGCTATTAAGAACACTTCTCTAATAAACACAGCATGAGTGAAGCTTGTCAGAAATGTCTACAAACTCCAGCTTTAGTGGATTTTAACTGCTGTAGCAGCCTGCTCTCTGTCTCACAGTTTAATTCGCATTATTACCTTGTTGGGCAAAGAGTTAGCTGCACAAAGGACTGGATGCTCATTCTCAGCTTTAAGGCTTTGTCCACATTTTACTTTCATCTCAAAACAAACAATGACACGTCGCACAAAGCCAGGTGTTGGACTATAATGGATATTAGCGTGGCAAACTTGTAGCTCCCAGTAGACTTTGTTCGTGAGAAGGGACCAACCAGAGAGCTGTGTGTGCGCACTGTGAGCAGCTGCTGTGGACGGGGAGGGCACCCAAATGCCCAAGTCCCTGGCCAGCCTGCAGAGCCTTCGTGTTCCCCTGTTTCTATGGTTTGACTCAGTTGCAGATGGCTCCTTTCATTTTGCACACAAATGAATAGCTGGAGAGATTTATGGTTGAGCTAAATTGCTGATGGCTTCATTTTGTACTGTGGCCCCTGGCAGAGCCGGGCATTGTGTAAGTCCTTTGACAGCACTGAATGAAAAGCCAGGGCACTATTGAGACAGCAGGTTTCTGTCATAACCAGAAAGAAGCAATGAGTGAAAGCAAGATAAGAGTTTTTTTGTGTGGCTTTACTGGTGGGTTCTGTGTGTCTTGCCTCCAGGCGGGGACTCATGTGAATGGCTGCTGTCCAGAGGACGTTACTTGGGGGAGAACGTATGGCAGCCTTATGGCTGCATGATGCACAAATACAAAAGCATGTGAGTCACACTAACTGCAGAGTTGCTATATTTACAGGATTCTGGGGACAAAGATTTATGTGTGTAGCAGTGATGGGTGTGGGTGTGTGTTTGTCTGTCTTCATAAATGGGTTATTTGTCAGTTAAATACCAAAATCATGTCAGCTGATTCTGTGTTCTCTTTTAAGTCACTTCTGAAAACACTTTTTTTTTGGAGAGCTTTTCCTGATTTTATTCAAGTGTTATCGCTTCTTGTTCAATTTGTGTGCTTTCTATTTTTATTTTATTCTGTGTGCTTATTTTTATTTCAGTTTTAATTATTTTTATTGGAAGGCACTTTGTAACATTTGTTTTGACAAGTGCTCTATAAATAAAGTTTGTTATTGTTGTTATATAAACTGAGGACACAAGATCACTAATGCGCAGATTCTGTGTAATGAGAAAGTTCAAGATTGATAAGATGATTTAGTAAAATACTATGATTTCCCTCAGCACATGAAGGATTTCTATTGGTTCAGATTCCTGACTACGACTTTTGTCCTACAGTGAAGCCAAAACCTGCCTTGCTGAAAAGCGGGTGGCCTTTGTGGGTGATTCACGAATCCGGCAGCTATTTTACTCTTTTATCAAAATTATCGATCCTGAGCGAAGAGAAGATGGAAACAAGGTAATTATTACGGCTTTTCCTCGCTCAGAATGGGTCTTTGGGGGGGTGGCAATGCACCACGGTGGGCATGATTGATCTGTGACTATCAAAGGCAATGAATGTGTTACCTTGTCTGACAGAAATCTATATAGTTTTCTGTTGTTTCTGACCACCTCTGTTTATGAAAAATGTGAAAGTTAAAAATAATCTACTCTCATTTCTTAATATTTTGCTGCTGATAAATTTCCTTTGGTGCTGGCGAAAACTTCTTTGAGGGGACAATGAATATTCCTTCATGCAGGAAATACCCTGATTATGAGAAACGGCACCACTCAAGACCAGGAGTTTTCTCAGGAAGCCATTCAGCAGAGTGCTGATGGTGCACAGCATGCAGATCTACAGATACGAAGCACAACTGTGAAACTAAAAAAAAAAAAGTTTCTTCTTTGCTCTGCTCACGTGTCAAGATAGGTTTATGAACTGAGTCAAAATAATTCAACCTAAAAATAGAAATCTCTGCCCTACCAAACATAGCCAGCTACTATATTCAGACTGATCACGGCAGCAACAAATACATATTCGGAAGAGCACACACAGAGGTAGAGCGATGTGTTCGGTTTCGACCACAGGCCTGTGTGCGTCTTCCTGTAAGAAATGGTTTTGATTCCAACGCTTTCTCAGTTGAATATGAATGAGTGGGAATTTTACCTCAAACAGTCCGTGACTGGGAAAAGACTTCCCTCTGAATGTTAAGCAGAACAACCATCTGTGACATGTGTGCCATTTCAGAGCTGTACTTGGAAAATATTCTACCATTTAGCATCAATTTGCTGTTGCTTTTTACTCGCAACAACTCATGAATTGTCAAAAATAACCCCTCTGATGTATTTTAAACTGAATAGATTCATTTCATTTAAGTGTGCAAATACACGGAGGCCTGAAATTTAAAGTATGTACTGCATCAAAAAGTTAATGTTTTTGCAAAAACTTAGATAAATCCAACAATGGGACGCTATGTGACTCTGCAGCGGTAACTATTTTGGTCTGATAAGAGGAGAAAGAGGAGCACAGACTAACAGACTTTTCTCTCTGTTTGCCGTCATGTAACGTCTGAAGCACGAGGATATTTCCTTTGAAGAGGAGAGTTCCTCTGTTAATGTGGTGAGCTATTCCTGCATTTGTTTTTTATCATCTCTCTTCCCCAAATTAAAAATAATGTTATTTATTTACTTTTAAATATAACACCTCTTTATATATAGGACTTTATGTGGCATCCAGAGGCGAATAATTCAATGAAGGAGCGCTTGATATCATGGATGCACGTGAGTATAGATGTAAAGGTCTTGTATCAACAAACAGGACTTTGTTAGTCGAGGAGGTTTCATGAACATAAAATCGTCACATGGTTCAGACTTTAATAATGTCTCATGCGTTGCAGGAAGCTTCAGCCAAACCAGATGTTGTCATCCTCGGAGCTGCCACGGTACGCTGTGATGGATCAGTCATTAGCAATGTTTACACATTTTTTTTCGCTAGACAAACTAGGCGGCGGGGGAATTATGTCGGCCTGAATCTTATTGATTTATCCATTTACCACAGTGGTCCATCAAGTTGCACAGTGGCAGCAGCGAGGCCCTGCAGCAGTACAAAGTCAATCTGACAGCCATCGCCGTGCATCTGGAGAGGCTGGCTGACCACGGAGAGGTCTACTGGGTCCTGCAAGGTTAGCTCAGCTTCAACTTTTTTTTTATTATCTGGCTGGTGAAGCATTAATGTCGGCTGCCTTCACTGCTGTAATTAATCTCCTGTGTGATGATTGCAGCCAAGTGAAATGAGATTACCACAAGGACGCCTTGATAATCTTTTATTAATTCATTTAACGTAAGCGCTTTATGTCTGGTTGCTCTGGATTATCTGAAGTGTATTATGTTTAAATTCTTTGATTGCTACAATTAAAAACATGTTCTTCGGCAAACAAAACACATAGTTCAATCTCAATCCCAATTTCCTAAATAGTATTTTATGCTGAAAGTTGAACTAGTAACTGATAGTTGCGCAACTTTTCATGCGTGCACTCTCTGAAACTCCTCTGTCTCTACTCACACAACACCATCTCGCACCTTCACGCTGCAGACCCAGTAAATGAGGAGGTGTTAAGCGAGAACAGGAAGATGATCACCAACCAACAGCTGGAGCTATATAACGAAGCAGCAGTGGACGTGCTCAACAGCAGCAAGCGGAACGGCAAATCCAGGGTCAAGCTGCTGGCTGCATCTCGCCAGGCCGCGCTGGAAACTATCACCATGTCAGATGACGGCCTTCACTTGCCCGAGAGCACCAGGAATGTGGTAGGCAGGAGTTGACTTCAGTTGAGATGATGTTGGTGATTAGTTTCTTTTATTTATTACATCGTCTTCACCCCTCCCCTCCTTCCTGTCAGGGAGCCATGATCCTCATGAACTCCATGTGCAACAAGCTGCTGAGGCCCATTGACGGTTCCTGCTGCCAGACGTTACCACCCCCAAACATCTTCCAGAAACTGTCAGCCTGTTTCTTCCTGGGCTCAGGCCTGATCTTCCTGGTCCTCCACGTGCTCGGCAACAACCGCCACCGCCGACCCGTGCCCCCCGACGTGGAGAGCCTGGAGGAGAAGAAGCCAGCGACTGCAGCTGTCCCTCTGGGCCCGAAGGCGGCTTTCCAGGCCCTCTGCAGGATGGGCATCATAATGGGCTATTTTTACCTTTGTGACAGAGCGGATGTGTTCATGAAGGAGCAGAAGTTCTACACGCACTCCACGTTCTTCATCCCGCTCATCTATATATTTGTACTGGGGGTGTTTTACAACGAGAACAGCAAGGAGGTGAGATGGCACTGCTTTTATTTTGCAAAAGCATAATGGCAATTTTAAAGAAGAATTTTAACATAAAACAAAGTTAGTTGTTGTTAATGATGTACCAGTTTTAATTCATGAATATTAATATCTTCTTTACTGTCATGTTTTTGTTTTTTTTGTTTTTGTTTTTTAATACTGCTCATTCACACAGACCAAATTATTGAACCGTGAACAAACAGACGAGTGGAAAGGCTGGATGCAGCTTGTCATCCTCATCTACCACATATCTGGAGCCAGTGCTGTGAGTCCCAAATATGCCTTTTTACACATCCGTTTGGGAGTATCCTGCTTTGAGGCTTCTCACACTGGTATTTGAACAGTATAAGATTTGCTTCCTCTGTCTTTCAGTTCATTCCAGTGTACATGCATGTGCGTGTGCTGGTGGCAGCGTACTTATTTCAGACTGGCTATGGTCACTTTTCCTTTTTCTGGCTCAAAGGCGACTTTGGACTTTACAGAGTGTGTCAGGTGAGCATACCATCAGTTGTACTTTCACTTGATGACTCTTATTAATTATAATAGGGAGACTATATAATTAACAGACTTAAGGTCAAATGAACAGTAATTATTTTAATAGAAAGTATTGTGTTGTAGCGGTAAATACAGGTATTTCCTGTCCTTCTGTGTTATTATCAGTGCATTGGTCATCATTAGGTAATCTGTGTGTGTTCCTGTGTGTTCATATTCACAGGTGCTTTTCCGTCTGAACTTCCTGGTGCTGGTGCTGTGTGTGGTCATGGACAGACCATACCAGTTCTACTACTTTGTCCCCTTGGTCACCTTCTGGTTCGTCATTATCTACGCCACATTAGCCATGTGGCCTCAGATCCTGCAGAAGAAGGCCAACAGTAGGTGTCAAATAACTGGTCTTTATATGCTTAGCTTGCACACGATTCAATCGACACATTGAGGCCATGTTTGCACATAGCCGGGTATTTACAAAAACTGATCTATGTTTTCAAAAATAACTTTGTTCACACTATATTGTTTTTTTTAAATCTTTGTTTACACAAATCCACATAAAGACATCGTTAAGAGCTGCTATGAGCATGCCAAACCCATAGGGGGCAGTGTAACGACAAGCATAAAGCAATGCTAGCCAATCAGAATCCTGGAAAAAACACAACAACAAATGGCACAAAGTACTTCCTGTTACTTAACGATAATGGCGCGAGCGTTGCGAGCGATCCTTCTCCTCTGCTCCTCCACATAATAGAACATTTCTAAATGTAAATGCAAACGGGCCAAAAGCGTTGAACAAACGTGAAAACAAGCGCTGCTTTAACAGCATCCATTTCTGTCCCAGTAGCCGAACTGTAAACATGGGTCGCACGCATATGACACTTTTGTCGCATACTGTGACGTCAGACTCCGTCTCCTCCTGTCTACATGCAAACGTAAAAACTGTTTTTCTAAATCTCCACTGTGGCCGGAGTTTTCAGATATGATCGTTTTCGGTGACTTGTAGCTTTGTTTACATGTAAACCAAAGACCCAGACGCACTGAAGTATCACCGTTTTTGCTACGTGTAAACGGGGCCTTAATGTGATGCCTGTCATAAACTTCAGTATCAGGGTTTTATTTTGTAAAACCTATTTTTGTAGACTTGCTTTTATTTGATGTTATTGCTTTAATTGCTTTTTTATGGTTTTATTCTTTCATTTACATTGACATTTAGTGATTTGTCTTGTTTTGCCTTGTTTCGCCCTTGCTTTCTTTGGCCGTACCATCTGAGTCCTGTTTTGCTTAATCTATCAACACACTTTTTAAACTTTGTTTTGAAATGTGCTACTTAAGTGAAGGTGTTATGATTAAATGTCTGTCTTGTTTTTGAACAGGTAGTGGCATGTGGCATCTCGGGGTCTTAGTAAAGTTACTCGGCCTCCTGCTGTTCATCTGCTTCTTTGCCTTTTCCCAGGTGGGTCAATGTAAACAATTCATTTCTATTACTTTTGTAACCTGACATTAATGTAAGTACAGATTTTCACAATTTTATATGAACACTTTACTTTGAGAGGCATAAATAGGCACATATATGTTATCATGGGTATTTTTCACATTCAGTCCTTATTTCAAACTCTGTTAATTTTTTTTTTAAATGTCCGTTTCGGTGCTGTGACTGCAGGTTTTTTTTGAGAATATCTTCTCGGTGTGGCCCATCTCCAAGCTCTTTGAGCTGAACGGAAGCATCCACGAGTGGTGGTTCAGATGGAAGCTGGACAGATTTGTAAGTCAAATGTGTTTCGCTCCAGAAGCGCCCAAGTCTAGTAGTCAGTCTTTGAATTAACAAATCCTTTTGAAATGTGATACATGACAAGAGTACATGCTCTTCAAGTGGGGCCAAAATGTTCCAAAAGTGGTGATGTTTTTTGACCGTGCATACGTTGTTTTGCAGGCGGTGATACACGGTATGTTATTTGCCTTCATCTATCTGGTGCTGCAGAAGCGTCAGGTGCTGTCAGAGGGCAAAGGAGAAGCTCTCTTCTCTGCCAAGATCTCCAACCTGCTCCTCCTCCTCTCTGTTGTCTCCTTCATAGTAAGCTTCTTTAACCTTGGGTTTGTCAGTGTTTGCTCACTCCAATAATGACTTTTAGAGTTCACTGTTTATTTTAGATTGCTGCCATTTACTCCATTCGTATATCCTATGAATTATGTGTGTTTCAAATTTGCATGTCATTGCTGCAGGTTCATTTAAATTCTTCTCTTTCCAAGTCTTTGGGTAACAGAAGGTGCCCTTGAAGCAGCAGCGTATGGTTAAACAGGAGAGGCGTATACTTTTTATACGTCACATCTCCTTGTAGCCTCAGCAGCCACAGTAGTCCGCTCTTTATGCTTTTGAAGGTCGAGCAAAAGTTCACGTTGCCATTGACTGGCGATTACAGTAGCTGTTGGGTCCACGACTCATCAGACTTGAGTCTCTCGTTGGTTAAACATGCCGCCTAACTTCTCCTTCTCCACATCCCTCTAGACTTACTCAATATGGGCAAGCAGCTGCAAAACCAAAACAGAGTGCAACGAGATGCATCCTTATATTTCTGTGGTCCAGGTAACCATTAAATCTATCATTATCCTTTTCCTTTTGTGATATTCTCACAGAGTTTAGCAGCAAGCACGTCCTCTCAAAGGAAGAATATCATCAGTTAATTTCCTTGTGATAATTCCTTTGGCTTGGCAGCAAGATGTCATCGGGATGATGTGATTGTAATAACAAGGGAGTTGCCTTTTTTCATATCTAAAGATACTATCTTCAACCAAACCACACTGTGAAACCTGTTTTTCCTTTTATGTCATTGTAACTTAAACCACCATGATTTGTCAACTGCAACTTCAAACAATAAGAACATTATAATAGGCCTGTTGTGGCTTCATGCTTTGACTCTTAGAAATGCTGTTGCTCTCTGTTATCCACAGATTTTGGCCTTCATACTAATCAGGAACATTCCTGGCTACGCCCGCTCTATATATAGCTCATTCTTTGCATGGTTTGGAAAGATCTCCTTGGAGGTAAGGTGCTTCTGGCTGTAGAGTCATAATTATACAGGAGAACGTTACTGATGTAAGCACTATAAAAATCAGATTTGATTTGCAAAGGGTACCATGACACAGTAAGAGAAATGAGTGATTAGGGAAGATAACAACACAAGGAAGGAGGTCAGACTGATAAAACTCTAAGAATAAATATTGTATCACAAACACAGTCTTTACTGGCTTTGCATAAGATATTCAGTAGCTCCCTGGAGGCAACAAAGTTAAAAGAGAATCAAGACGCTTCACTCCACTATTGGACGTTCTTTGTTTGTCTCCCCCAGCTGTTCATATGCCAGTACCACATCTGGCTGGCGGCAGACACCAAGGGAATTTTGGTCCTGATCCCGGGCAACCCTTCGCTCAACATCATGGTCAGCACCTTCATCTTTGTCTGCGTGGCTCATGAGGTTTCACTCATCACCAATTACCTGGCCCAGGTGGTCATCCCCAAAGACAGCATGGCCCTGCTGAAGAGACTGGGCGCCGTGGGACTCTTCAGTCTGGTTGTACTGCTGCTGACCAGGGAAAGCCAGGCCACACCAGGTGCCTGATGGACAGCTCATGATGGGAAGGAGGGGGAAGGACATAACCCCCCCACCCCCCAAACCCCCCTGCTGACACTTAAGTGAGGTAGAGAGCAAGCTGGGAGCAGCCCTGGCTTTTTTTTAGCCACTGGTGACCACAGCTCCAGTCGTAACCTGTGGAGAACGGTGTCTGACTGCGGGCCCCATTTCAGCAGATTCTGTACTTTCTGACTGCTGTGAAAGTCACACACTGAAGAAAAGAAAAATGCCCAATAAAAGTGGTGGAGAATTGCTCCTTTCAGGGCAAAGTGCAAACTGCAGGAGAGTGGGGAGGGGAGGGGGGGACACATAAAAAGAACAAAAACATACTGAAACGTTTACATTATGTGGTTTTCTGGATTTGCAGCTGTGTGAAATTTTTTGCAGCGTTGCTTCTATTTAGCCAAACACACTAATAAGAAGTTTACTTTGTCACATACAGTACTTTCTGTCATTACTTCACGCTGCGAGGATTCACGAGGCAAACACTCCGTCCACATGGCAGTAGCAGTTGAAGGTGATTTCACTCAGGTGGATCCATAACCTACATATTCAGATATCTACTCTTTAATGACAAATATGTTAACTCGTGCTGCATTTTATTATCAACATTACGTTGTACAGTATTTCTGTAGTGCTAGATATCTAAATATGCAAAATATGGACCAACAAATGGCTTGGGTGATCAGAAAACTGTCGAGACTAAAGTAAAATTTGGAGTGCAATTGTTAAAAATGTTGGAGTATCCTTTGACATATTTTTGCTAATGTTTTTGTGAGTAATTTTAGAAATGTTTGCCTTGCAGAAAGGCTCCGTGGTCACCTGCTGTAGCGCTGAAATTCTATGTGATATGTACAGTATTTAATGATTTAAATTAAGCTTATATTTTATACAGGTTTTTTTTTTTTTTTTGGCTTTGTTTTACTTTGTACGTTTGCGCCCATGACTGCTGTTTGTGAAGGAAGTATTACATAGATAATTTTTGTACCCATCCCAGAATCTCATAGATGATTACCTGTTGATGAGGTTGAGCCTTTTACAGGAGCAGCTCACTTCCTAGTATGTGTACATTTGTATGATAGAGTGAGAGATTTATTTTATACAGCGACGCTTCAGCAGCGGTTTCGGTCCTTTATCCTTTCATCGCCGTTGCAACATGCCTCATAGCTCTGGTGGAAAGCGCACCAAGTTGCACACACTTAACTGTAACAGGACTAACGGCTCCATGTACATCATCCCTTTTGTGTCACAGCCAGTGAACTTTTGTCAGTGACTGAGTGATTTCTTAAAGAGTGAATGCCTTTGAACATGCAGCTTTTTTCAGTGGCTTATACGTACAGTACATCTTCAGATGTACTGAGTCACATCTGTGATGTAGCTGGGATCACAATCTTCCATCTTCAGGCACTTTGCATCAGGGCCACATCAACATTTAATAACTACTTGGTAATGCACTGACTGAGCTGAAAAGACACATTACTGTTGCTTAAATGGAAACTATTGTATATTTTGTCCGTTGACAAATGGGCAGCGTCCGTTTGCCTATTAATCCTCATAGACATTTTAAAAGAGAGCACTTTTCTTTTGAGACCTACAGTTTTCGTCTTTGAGATGAAATACGGCGTTTAATATGAGCTTAACACGGTACCAGTGCAGATACTTTATGCACTTTGACACATTTTTGTTGGGTAAATGAAATGTTTTGTCAAAATCATTTGGCAGATACAAAGATTTCAACTGTGTTGCATATAGACTTTGAGTTGTATACGTCATCTAACGATTGAGCAGTTACGGATTGCGGTGTCAACGATTTTTCTATTCATTCATGTAGCTTCACTTTAAAAGGAAATGTGGGTCCACTTTTCTTTTTCTTTACAGTGGAACAACTTGTCAGCAGCTTTTTGAGGCTTCTTGTGTCATTTATCTAACGATGTAGTTCTGGTTAAACTGTAAGAGAGCCAAGTAGATTTGCAATTTCTAATAACAGACAGCACCTCATTGTACAGATGGCATTTCCACGTTGCCATTTCCTTGGATGTGTAAAGTTTACTATCCGTTTTCTCATCTATTACTGATCAACAGCGATACAGTACATTTGGTAATTGTTTCAGGCCTTAATTGATCTCTTTGGTCGTGTAAGAGCAACAACTATTTATACCCCTGTGCAGGGCCTCTTTGAAATATGTTACATGTAATTTTTTTGTGATGTCTTAAAAAAAAATGTGAAATGTATCCATATTATTTATAAATGCCTTTATTCTGTTGTACATTGTTAATAATACCTTCATAAAATGTGCTGTTTTGGCTTCTTTATTGGGGACCTGTCATGTCGGTTACAAACAAAGGTACGTCGACTTATTTTGAAAGAATTTATTGCCATCATGTGACACGTTACATAAAATGAACAACACATGACAACTAAAGCATTTCAATGTAAAACTCCCTTTTCCCTCTAAGGGGTCCACTGTGCAAAGCAGGTCGAGATACAAACATATTAATCGTATTTTTAACATTTACACAAATATTTCAAAATAGTCTAAAGATATCTTTATAATCAGCTAAGCTCTTCTGTTCTCTTTCACTCTCCAAAGTGTAAGTGCATGTGGACAATAAAACTTCACTTCTGAGACATGCAGATTGGCACGAATGTTAGAAGAAGAAAAAAAAAAGTAGGAACAAAATCTTCTCTGACACTGGTCATAAATTCAGTGCTTCGGCCACCTTCCTCTCCTCAGGAATACCATTTACCTGGAAGAAATACGAAAAAAGGAATATTAAACCAAACTGTCAACAACTCACTTTTATGTTTTGATGTGCCGAGAGCTAAAATTGCCTCATTATTCAAAAAGAACTAACAAATCCTACATTATCCCTACGAAAACGTATAAACAGCAGCACCTACCTCCAGCCTTCGAAATGTTGACATGACATAGTTATCTCCTTTGTTAGCAGTGAACAGAGAGAGCAGCGAGTTAGTGCTTCATGCAGCTGATCACCACGCTCACAAGAGGGTGCTCACATGCCAACATCACAATTAGTTGTCTCATGCAGGAGTTGACAAGACGAGTCCGGATGCAGGAGGGATGGACTGAGGTTGTAAGCAACACAGGAGAGTAACTACAAAGCCAGGTTTTTAATCTGCCTTCATATTAATAATGGCAGTATAGTCAATGTATTCAAGGTGGTGAAGTGTCATAACAAGTCAAATGAATAAGTCATTTTACAGTGATGTAAATATGTTTAAACCTGCTGGGAGACATATTTTATTGCACTTTACATCCTAATTATTATTAAGACAGCTATTTTATACTAATGTAAAGCAGAAGCACTGTGAAAATGACACACACGCAGCTTTATGCATACATTACAGCCTTAGCTGCTGTTTTTTTCACAAGCCATTTGTCACTTTAAACAGTTTCTGTATTATTTAAATGTTGTTCTGACGTCTACCCCCGTATTTAACTCAAGCATGTGGCAGCATCTTTATTTGTTAATCACACATTACACATGCAGATGTAGCACGGCAGATTGCTAAACAACCAGCACAGACTAGGAGGAAATACTAACCTGATGGCCGTTGCTGTGGTATCGTAATCTGGTTTTGCAGATTCCTGAAACCATAAACAGACAGACATTCATACATGTAACAAAAGCCCATGTTATCATGTGAAAGCTTGCTGTACTTATATTATTGCATTTTTCCCTTTCAAGCCCATTAGGATAAATCATGGGACAGCTTGAACCTCTTAAGCTGTAGTCGTATTTTTCAAAAAGCCTGACTTGCTTTCTGCAGCTTTGGCTGTAAACATGGTTAGAAAGCGCTGGAAACTGGAGATTAAGCGATAATAGTATTGTTGCAACTTATATATTTTTTCCACAGTGACGCCTATGAGCTTTACTTCTGCTAATGAGCGTGGGTGTATGTGCTGTTTCGTGGTGCGGCCGCGGCACGTGAATGACTGCTTGTGTGCATCCGTCTTGTATGCATTTCATCCCACCGGATCCCTTAACTCACGCCTGTGTCTGCATCAGGGGCATGCTGGTGGTCTCGTAGTTGTCGGGGTGGATGGGCGGCACCACCTCGCCGCTGACTGGGTTGAAGACGGGCAGCGTGGAGAGGGGCCAGGAGATCTCCCGGTTCTTAGACATGCTCCGCAGCTCCTTGGTGGACTTCTGGATGGAGCTGTGGTGAACAAGCTGGATGCTGCAGAAGGGAGAAGCGGTGAATTCGTATTGTAGCATGTTTCGGTGTCATGGCGGTTGGCGTTCTCTCACCAAAGCTTCACTGACCTCATCCTGTGCGTCTATGACAACATCTGCACTCAGCTCGTGCATGCACAACAGAAATATAACACCCACCCTCGCCTACTGCTGCGATTGCTTTCGTTTGTTCGATTTGGGGTGCAGGATATGTTGTTAATCTCTGAGATTTAGTCATGTTGAAACACAATATTTATTACAGCGAGCAGCATTAACTCCCTACTGCTAGCTGGCCATTGGATTTTTCAGCAGCCCACAGGATGAATCGATGTCAACACACATATGAGCATATGAATGGATATGAAACAGCCATCAATGACGACAAAAACGACAAAACTGCAAAAACAAAGAGGGGAGGGAACAGAAACAGACCCAAAATAAAGAAGAACACAGGAGAGGTAAAACACTTACTCTGGTGTTTGCATGTTTCTTTTTTCCCTAGAAACAAAACAAAATGGATGAATTAAATACTAATATTAATAGTTAAAGCAACATCTACACACAAGTGAACGGACTGTTGGATAAAGACGAGGTGGAGATGGTGTGGAACACTGAGTGAACAAAGGGGGCACGTCTCTCCCAGCCTGTAAACGATGAAGGGATGTGTTGCGGATGAATGATCATGGCTGTGCTTCGAAACATTAAGATGTACACGACAACATCAACAAAAACCTGTGACAGATATCGATGAGGAACTTAATATAGATGGACCATACTACTGGATGGTAATGACAAGCTGCAGTTCCAGTCCAGATTTCCACTCTGTTTCTGATTATCCTGCTGCTAACTGAGCCCTTCGCTGTCATTTCTGTCTCTTATATACTCAAGTACAAAACTTTCATTGCTGCCCTCAAATATTTATTGGGGTGTTTTGGTGCATTATTTGCATAGAAATATATAAGACCAAGCACACTTACACCCCTTCCCGTCTGCAGCACATAGTGTAGCCGAGGATGAAGAAGAGGACTAGTGCCACAGCGGCGGGAACAGCCAGGGTGACAAGGAAGTCGGAAAAGTAGTCCCGGCTCCTCAGAGACTCGGACGGGGGATTGTACTCCCCGAATTCAGGCAGGATCCCCGTACCTGGGTCAGGACGGGTAATGTAAACTGGGACTACTTTGTTGATGTCAACCTAAAGAGATAAGTAAGAGTTAGTCGAGGATGTGTGACAAATACAGGGGATACAATGTGATTCAAGTGCAATATCTGTTTATTTGCTCCTGTCACATTTTTACTCACAGTGGGCCCATTTTTATCGCAATATGAAGTCATGCACAACCTTGAATAGAGGCAGCAAGAACTTAACATATTTTTCTGTGGAGTATTAAAGTCATATTACAACAATTTTTCAAGGGCCCACAGGTGATACCAACACTGGAAAAAAAAATGGTGACTTCACCATCTAGATATGCAACAATTTATTTTATCTTTTGTATTTTTCTTTTTCATACTTGTATCGACTTTGCTCTGTGTAAACACAACCGGCATCTCAGCCAAAAAAATTATTCAATGAATTTTTGTCACGTATCTGTTGGTCGCAGCTTGTTGTGCTAAGGAGTAGTGAATTTTTTGTTTTTTTACAAATTCATGTTAGTGCAAATTGTGTATTTTTGGTAAATGTTTACATGAGACATGCAGAATAAAGTGATTCTGATGCAGTATCACAATTTTTCCTGATGGAGCTGGACATCAAGTTGAAAACCTGACCATTCTTTCTGTTTTTGCAGTTTCTGTTTATGACAAATTGTGTCATTTTGGCCTTTATTTTATGTTTTTAAAAGATAATCTCCCTTTTAAACCCCTAAACAGGTTTTTGGGGTTCAGAGGATTAACCGATGGCACTTAATCAAAGGCAAGAGTTGTGAATTCATTCCCTTTTTGCTCCAGCATTAAAAACCTGAATATTTTAGTCTAGGTGAATCTTTAAAAGAGCATCCTCACCAGAGAGATCTTACACCAGTCGATGTGAAACTGAGCTCTGAACTTCTTGTCACAGCTGATGGCAGGCTCCATCTCCTGACTGCAGCGTAGCTGGTTATGTGGGCTTTCCACCTCCCGAAGGCAGGATGAGAAGGGAACATCTGCACCAACCATCACATAAACACTAGGGAGAGGACGAGACAGTGAAACACAAGGCATGAGGAGAGAAGAGAAGAGAAGAGAAGAGAAGAGAAGAGAAGAGAAGAGAAGAGAAGAGAAGAGAAGAGAAGAGAAGAGAAGAGAAGAGAAGAGAAGAGGTCGGGGCCCAGGAGCGCTGGCAGCTGTCTAATGANAGAAGAGAAGAGAAGAGAAGAGAAGAGAAGAGAAGAGAAGAGAAGAGAAGAGAAGAGAAGAGAAGAGAAGAGAAGAGAAGAGAAGAGAAGAGAAGAGGGAGCCTCATTTTATATGTTTATACTGAGGCCTATAATAGTCAAGGCATTTCCCCTCCACCGAGTCTTCTATCAGATGCTTTCATCTTCCAAAATGTCGGCATTAATCTTTGATGCACAACTTATGGCACTTCATGTGGGCTATTCCCCTCTGAACTGAAGGAAGTGACAGTGTCTGTCAGCCCAGAAGTGTATTCATGTAATTCACAGAAAACTGAGGATCCCCAAGGCCCCAATTACATAAAACGTCCTGGTGCAAGTGGACTGAAAATAAATGCAATTTGTTTGATTTACAGAGGTTAAGGGGCTGCTCGTGGGGAGATG